CCCGAGGGATCAGTACATCACCTAAACACCCCGGAAAGGGGCTCATGTGGGGCCTCCTGGGGGACAAGCGGGAAGGATTTCACAACTGAGATGATGCTATAGAATGTTCCAGAATCTGCCATCTTTCTGACTATACAGAACTTGGTGCACCTTTTTTTTTGTGTGTGGCTCATTTGGTTGATTGTGTGTGGTTTGATCTTCTCACTTGAATCTTCTTTTTAATTTGGACCATCGCATAACACCTGCATGCACAACAAGCTGCTTTGCAAACTCCAGAACAAAGACCCGGATGGGAAACAAAAGGTGGTGATGAGCTAGTCTTGTTACCAGGCAGGATTCCCCGAATGCCCAGTGCTCAAGGCCCTGCTGGTCCCAGGCTGAGTCTCCTGTCAGTCTTTCTATTCTCAAGGGAAACCACAGTGTCCGCTTGGGGGTCTTCTCCAGCATCCCTGCCAGTCCTGCCCCAGCAGACCCCCCGGCAGCCCCATGCTTTCTGGTCAGCAGGAGACAGACACAACTGTTGAGTACATTTTCCCCCCAGACGATGGTGCAGTTGGAGAACTCAGTGCGTCACTGTCCTGCATGTGGACCCTGTGGGTGGGTGCAGCCCTAACTGGGCATGTGTGTGGACACAGGATGGAAACTGCACCTCCCATCCTGGGAGATGGCATAGCTTTATGGGGAGGCATTCACAGCGCGATTCGAGAAACGCTTTGCCCACTTACATAACAACCCATTGTTATGTCCTTGAAATGGGGCCTTGAAGCTTTACCACACATGCTGTTTGACGGCTCAGGACCTATAAGTCCTTTGTGCATAAAGGTGGCATAGAAGCTGGTGTAGATCCATGTCATGAGGTCATTCACTCTCATGCCAGCGCACTGAGCCAAGTGCTGCTTTTAGGGAGCAAATATTTTGTTTACTGTTAATTTTTAGTTGAGATATAATTATAAATAACATTATGTAAGTTTAAGGTATACACTGTGCAGTATAAATGCCACAGTCGAGTGAGTCGACGCCCCCATCATGTCACATGATCACCATCTCTTTTTTGTAGTCAGGATAATGCAGATCTGGTTTCTTAGCAACTTTGAAGTTTATAATATACTATTGTTGCTATAATCACGATGCCATGCATTAGATTTCCAGCACGTTTATCATTTATCTGCTAATTGCAAGTTAAGCGACATCTCTCCATAGTTCCAGTAATTAAAATTGTGCAGCCCTGACATAGAAAATAGACACATAGACCAGTGGAACCGAATAGAGAGCCCACGAGTTAACCCTCACATGGACACACACAGTGCATCAATATTCGACACGGGGCCAAGAACACTTCCTGGGGAAGGAGACGCTCTTCCGCAAATGGTGTTGGGAAAACCAGACGGCCACTCGCAGAGGAATGAAATGAAGCCCCTGTCTACACCACTCACAGAAATGAACTCAACGTGGATTAGAGATGTAAATGTAAGACCTGGTACCATAAAAATCCTAGAAGGAAACAAAGGGAAGGATCTCCTTGACACTGGTTGGCAGTGATTTTCTGGATATGATACAAAAGCACAAAGAGCAAAAGCAAAGACCGGCCGGTGGGACAACAGGGAACTGAGACGCTCTGGCAGGTGGGATGCTGCATCGACAAAGTGAAAAGTCAGCTACAGAAGGAGAGGAAACATCTGCCAGCCATGTAAAGATAGAAAGCAAATGTGACGCATACGTCACAGTCCCCGTGAGCTCAGGCAGTTCCCTGACCCCTCAGGCGGCCCTGTCAGAGGCAGAGATTTTGTGTTGGTCACTCAACACATACGTTCCTCTGAGTGAGTTGGAAAGATGGGAGGGTTTCTCCTTATGGGAAATGCCAGTACGGACCTTCCAAACCATGGCCCAGCTACCCACGTACTGAACTGCCCGTCTGAACACTGAGCTTCCTGGCTCTGGTTTTAGATGAAGGACACATGGGTCCCGGAATGAGCCTCCTCCTCCGCCGTCACCGCCTAGAGGACAGTGGGTCTCAGCTGTTGGAATCAGAGCCCACCTTCACACAGACGTTCTCGAGCTAAGACCGCCTGCCCCCACGCTAGCAGGCATCAGGAGCTCGGGCACCCAGACCAGCTTCCCTGACTGGCACTGACCCCTGGCTGTGATGTGTCAGAGTTCAGTCTGTACTGCTACCAACCATGCTGAGGGGACAGGAGAGAAAGCAAGAAAAGTAACATCCGATTACCTCCTTGCCTTCAGGCCTTATTCTGCTTTATTCTGCTGTCTTCTAGGGGGAAAGTATTCCGAGGTCAAGGGCATTTGAAATGAAGGCCAGCCAAGATGGTTCCAGGCAGTCACTCGTCTTCCTGCCCCTCACTCTGTTTGCAGCAAGAGCTGCTGAGGCCTGAGTGACATGCGAGGAAACCTCTGGAGGTCTCGGTTGTCGCTTTGTGTCTTCTGCATGTCACACATGTCAAAAAGTGCCAGCAATTGAGTTATTAGAACCTCGCTTCACCGTCAGAGTTCCGAAGGCAGGATTGGCGATGTTCATGGCTGTGAGTTGGGAGACTGTCTCACACAGCTTTCTGTCCATCTTGCCAAAGATGGAACATGATTCAGGCAAAGTGAACCACTAATTCTGTGAAAGAGGAGATCAGGTAATGACTGTATAAGCAACCAGAGGGATGGATATGTGCATGTGAAGAGCTGGGTGCATCTTTAGGGCAGTAATTCACAGGACTTAGTGATGCTGTGGGGACCACTTTTGTTATCAGACAGATTGGACACATGGAGACGGGGGACAGGGTCACTTTCTCTTCTGAACCTTCATGTGTCTGTCTTTTCATGTCTATGTCTGTGTGTGTCTGTGCCTCTATCTCCCTCCCTACGTGTCTGTCTACCTTTCTATCATCTGCCTACCTGTCATCTATCTATATATCATCCATATGTCATCTGTCTATCATCTGCCCGTCGTCTGTCTGTCCATCCAGATGTCTGCCATGGTGGGTGCTCATGGGTACTGGAGATGATGTATACAGTGTCTTCATATGACACAGTAAGAGCATCTTATCTTTTATTATAGATTAGCCAGGTCTCCCTTTTCCTCTCCTAAGGACCAGGGCCGTTTCACGACAGTCAGCCTCTATTTCACCCTCCACAGTATCGCCTTACTGAGCCACGGCTTTTCCTGGGATATTTCAGTAGCATCTGTCTATATTGGCACCAGCATTTTTTTAGGAGTTTCAGGTTAATTGTGCAGCATTATTATTTTTATAAATCATGCCCTATTTTTTCTTTCAAAGTAAAAAACCCAACAACCTTCATTCCGATTTGTTTTTTAGACTTGATAGAATACGGAATCCTGCCTCAGGCCCTGGTGACAAGCCAGTTACCAGTGGTCTGGTTTCAGGAAACAGTCTTGAGAAGAATTAGAACGATTGAGTAGAATTTTATACTACTGCACGTATGTTAGAGCTGGAACACACTTAGCAGATAACTGGGGCCAAGCTCTCTTTCGCTTCCTCCCCCTTCTGACATTGAGGCTGAAGTGGGGGGCGGGGCAGCCACTCATCCCCAGTGATGCGCAGAGTCGGTGAGGAGACAGCGCCAAAGCCGGGGGTCCTGCTTGCCTTGTTTTCTTTTTTCAGCTGAATCATCCGACAGGCATGACCCTGGTTCTTAGTAGCGCTGAGAATAGTGCGGCTGTGGTTTAGTGTAACGACGGAGGGCACGTGCAGGATGCCAGCCCATCGCTGCTGTCCAGCGAGGCACCTCAGGCCCGTCCTTCAGCTCCTGGGCCTGGGCTTCTCGTTTGTAAACCAAGGACGGAGCAAGAACACCACGTGGTGTCCGCGCTGGGGCGTGTTTCAGCCTGAGAACAGTAATGACGTTGTTATGTGGGCAAGATGCTCAGAAGACAAAAGCTTTTCAAGTCTTCCTATTTCCTATGTTGCTTTACTTGTGAGCATGTTCAGAATTAAATTCTATCTCCAATTGCAGGAAATGTTCTAGTCCAGGGTGTTAGCACGGATGTCTGCTCCACCCTGAGAGGGTCCCGTGACCGCTGTGCTGGGTCGCTGCTCCGTGCTAACCCTGCCGGAGTTGCTCTATTGCTGTTTTGTTTTGTTCTTAACCTGATGGTAAAACTGAGTCCCAGAAAGGTGCAGTGACATGTCCGGCTTGCTGCGCGCAGAAATACATTTCAAGTACAGATCTCTGAGGCTCTAAAAATCCAGATTCCTCTCCTCTTCTGTCCTTACCTATTGTAAGTAAAACATGTTCTCCTGCTCTGATTTAAAGGTCCTCATCTCTGCGTGTTCTTTTAGTCTAAACCTCTTAGACTATTTCTGGCAAATAGAGACAACACAGAGAATAAGGATTTTTTTAAAAAACATTCTATTTAAAGGCCCTGCATGTACCGTGTAGGTCACATAATCTCATTTATATTGATGACATGTATTTTACAGATACTTTGTGTGCACAGGTCTTGTTTTCAACAATGTGCTTGTAGCCGTCACATAGTTATCTGCACTAGTGTTTTCATTCTGAGGCAGGGGTGCCCGTCGCTAGGATGGGCTCTTTAGTCTGACATCCTGGGCCCTAATCCTTGCTTGATTGTTTGCTGGCTGTGTGATCTTGGGGAGGCTGCCTGGTCGTCCTCTTTGACTCCCCCCATTTCTCACATGGCAGTGCTAGCACCCTTCTGTCCTAGGTGAAGTCCGTTTCAGGTAGACCAGGGCCCTTCAGTACTTAGCAAAAGGCCTGTGGCATGGGGGCTTCACAGAGTTAGCTCTTGAAATACCAGCCCTTGTGTGAACTCTGCCGGAGCCCTATGAGGAGCCCCAGGTCTCCGGTCAAGCCCCGTGCCTGACGGGAGTACTCAAGCGGCAGCTGTGGCACACTGAGTCACCGTCACACTGTGGGCATGACCCCCTTCCGTTCAGCTTTCTGGAGGTATGCAAGCGTGGCTGTCTTCCGACCTCCCTTCTAATGTCCCCCTCCTTGGTTGTGTGTCTGGGCAGAGGACAAGATCTGGACATCAGTGCAGCACAATAGCACCGAGCTGACCCATGTGGGGGGCGCCCACCCCGGGAAGCCCTATGCCGTGGCCTTGGACTACGGGGGCAGCGCAGAGCAGCTGGCAGCCGTGATCGAGGGCTCGGAGCACTGTGAGCAGGAGGTGGCCTACCACTGCAGGAGCGCCCGGATGCACGACAAGCCCGGTAAGCCTCGGCCCTCCGCACCTCTGCAGGGCCACGCAGGGTGGCCGCAGGGCACCAGGTGGGCACACAGGAGGCAGTGTTTGCTGACAAGGGGCTACGGTCACAGCTGTTCACCACTGTACGGTGGGGAGAAACCCGGCCGGGAGGGGCCTACTGCTGTGCTAGCCCTGCCTCCCATGTCCAGCTGTGCCCCGGAGGGAGCTCTGGGGCCTCTCAGGGTCTCTCCTCGTCATCAGAAAGGGAAGGATGGCCACACCCATCCTTTAGCCGCTGTGAAAGTAAAGCTTCTTGGGAGTAACAGCACTTGAAGAGAGCATTTGGGCAAGACACGAAAAGCGTGGAGGGGGGAGGCGGCCTTTCTGGCAGAGGGATGGCGTATGGGAAAGCGCCCAGGAGCCGCAGATCCACCAGAGAGCGCCGGGCTGTGTGCAGGGAAAGCAGGAAGGGAACTGCCCTAGGCAGGGGGGCGGGAGCCGCGGGCAGGGAGACGGCCTGGGTCTGCCATGCTGTTGCTACCTAAGACGAGCAGGCCTTACTGGAGATGGCTCTTTTTTAAAGTAGTTTATTTTTAGAAAAAAGTTGGATTAACCATATTTGTTCCCTACAGTTACGTTTCAGAGGGAATGGTTGATTTAGTGATAAATATGCTTGTAAAAAAAAATTCTAGGGCTGCTTACCGGCACCCCAAAGGGTTTTGGCAAAATGTCAAGAGGGCTTTTTTTCGAAGTTTACATGTTCCTTGGGAGGCAGTCATTGTTGTGAATATGAGTTCATCCTCTGTTTCATGGCAGAAAAATAAAAAATGCTGAGAACCACGGAGCTGTGTGAATCCAGGAGGGTGTCAGAATCTTGAACCCCAAGAAACTTACCTTTCAGCGCTTGAAGTTAGGGACTTTGAAAGGCTTGAGAGAATTAGACAATGAAATGTCAAGGGAGAAGTGATAGAAACCTGAGTGTGACTCACCTCGCGGGCCCAGAATCTTTAGCAAAGACATTGTTCCACATAAAGCGTTTTTCCAGATTAACTGTCACTTATGCCTGTCAGAACAAAGAAAGCTTTCTGAGTTTTTTTTTAACTATTTGCAATGAAAATCTTTTTCAAAGGGATCACACGCTTCCTTGCCTTCCTAAGCAGAGAATTCTGCACATCACGTCTAAGCTTTCTCGTGGCTCAGGAGGGTCGCTGCTCGCTCCCTGGGCTCAGGAGCACCTCTGGGGCTGACTAGACCCAAGGCAGCTCCCGGTGCCCTTTGCCCCGCATCCACAGGCACTGCCACCCTGCGAGATGCCGTGCTGCTGTCTGTCCGTCCGTCTCCTGGCCACCAAGCCTGCACCTCTCTCAGCACCATTCTCAGGGCTCATGTTGGGGAAACCAGCCCACCTTTCCATTGCTTCATGTTTTCTAAGGATTGGGCCTGGTGGGGTTTCAGGAAGACCAGGACCGTGTTCACTCCGACCGTGGGATGTCCTTTAGGACACACATTCTGTGATCAATCGGGCTGCACTGTTACCTTCCTCACATTCGTGCATTTCTGACTCAACTGTCCTGAGTTCCCTGAGTTTATCTGAGGGGAGGGCATGGGCTGGGGAGCAGGCTGTCCTGGGAAGGACGTCTTGTCTCTGCTTCTCACTAGTTGGGAAGCCTCGTGTAGGGTGTTAAATTTGCACAGCTGCCATTGTACCACCTGAACAGTTTCCGCCGGAGTCCTGGACTGAGACCCTGGTGGGAGGGCCGAGGAGGCGTGCAATCCACGCCTCTTGTGCCGTGCCTGGCATGTATCACGTTCCACAGATGCCGGCGCCCTGTTTCTTTCCTTTGTCACGGCCTCCATCCCAGCAGGGAAGGTCCAACATTTGCACTGTAATGGGAAACAAGCGCGGAGGAGCGTTTTGTTTCTATTTTAATGGCATAAAGAGAATAATTATAATAATTATGATGCGTGCATGCAGATCATCTCACCACGCAGTGAGAACCGATGTTGCATTAAATGTGTGCGCTTCCCAATGTGTACCACTTCTGGCCAGCCACCCCCTCAGCACATGCAGGAAACAGCGAGGACATGGGACACACCACTCCCTGTGCTAGGGCTGGTGCTCATCCATCCTGTTCTCCCCACGGGCTACGAACCAAATGAGGCAGATGAAGGAAGGAAGTGTGTGTGCACGCAGTCCCTCCATGCCTCTGCTGAGCCGGCCTGCAGGACAGCATAGTCCTGGCGGGTCCTCCTTGCCCCTCAGCCCCCACCTGCAGACCGGGCACTCCTAGTGGCTGCAGTAGGCCTGCAGACAGCAAGCCCCTGCCCTGTGGCCCCAGCCTTACTCCCCTCGGTGCAGGGACAGAACCCAGTCAGGCCTGCTCACCTCTTAGAAGCAGGGGTGGGGACAATAATCAGTGATATAAATATAAAATAATAAATAAGCAAGGTGGAGACAGTCATGGGTGCCTGCGTCAGAGAGCCCCACCTAGGATCCTCCTGTGGTTGGGCTGCTGCAACAAAACGCCACAGACCGGTCAGCTTATAAGGAGCCGAACCTTACGTCTCACAGTTCTGGAGGCTGGGGCCCACCCTCAGCATGCCAGCCTGGCTTGGGGGGGAGGAGCCCCTTCCGGCTCACAGGCAGCTCACTGTCATTGTGCCCTCATGAGGGGGTGAGGAGTGAGCTCTCTGGGGTCCCCTTCATAAGGGGGCTCATCCATGCAGGGGCTCCACCCTCCAGACATCGTCACCTCCCCAGAGCCTTACCTCCAAGCATTGTCACACTGGGGGTTAGAGTTTTGACATAGGAATTTGGGGGTACACATACATTCAGGCCATAGCAGGCACATACTGGCATGGATGGTTCCCTAATCTCTCTAGTGGTCCAGCCATTTGCTTCCCCATGAGGAAGGCCAGAGACACAAGGGTGAGGGGAGAGGCTGTCCTCTCCTCATCCACCTGCCGGCTGCAGGAGTTGGGCAGTGTCCCCCTTATGTGCTGAAACCAGGCCCCCCACCGTGATCCTGTTTTACTGCCGTACTTGTGACACACACACAGTGTAGAATATCTTCCCATTTCAATAAAGTCTACAGTACAGACTTTGTGCTATAATGTTTATTAACAGTGGAGGCTTCCTCTACATGGATTCACCGCCATGGATACATGAAATTCACTCATCTATTTTTGTCATTTGGATTGTCCTTATTTTTTTTACCATTGCAAATGCTCCAAGAACATCTTTGCACGTAGGTATTTGTGGTGCAGTTAACTGTGCAGCTCACGGCCCCCAGAAGGGGGACCAGATGAAAGGGGTGTAGGAAGGTGATCGCGGGGAAGCCGGTGCCCAGGTCCCTGTGGGGGGTGGGATCGGGAGCCCCACCTGCCCCCAGATTCTCCCCGGCCCCTGGACAGCCCTCCTTGGACTTACTCATTGGGGCCCAAATGTCTGCTGGTAATCTGTTGGCACTTAGTGCTCCGTGTAGGGACTGTTCATTTGGGAACGTCCTTCCCAATAAGGCTGTGACCTCCTAAGGTGGAGGTAAGAGGCCAAAGCCCAGAAACTGAGGCGCCATTCCTTTGAGCTCCAGAGGCCACACCAGCTGGAGTTTGCCTGGTTCTGAACAGAAGGCGTTTGCCCAGCAAGTCAGCCACGCAGGCACATTTGCCGTGAGGGCCGTATCAGTGCCCAGGAGAACTAAAGGCCCAGGGCCCTGATGCCGTCGGTCCCCATTTCCCTGCAAGAATGGGGAAAGTCATTCCCATCCAGCCCCCCACGCAGGTATGGAGTGGTTTCTACATGGGCCAGCTGTTTACCTACTTCTGCCCCAAGGACTTTGAAAGTGATAAAATCCTATTTCCTTTAAGTATTGTAAAATTCTGATTTTCCTATTTTCCGTTAATTAGTGCTATTCTGCTGAGCATAGAGCTAACTGGCTATATATATAATAAGTGTATATATATATACTATAGTATGGATGAATATACACACAACACACACTCTAGGATATATGCCATATAATATATTATGCAGTAGTTTATATGCTCATCATATACTCTTTGTATAAATGCACGTGGATGTATAAATTTTCACATTCCATTTTTAATAGTAGACTTCAGATGTGGCGTATTTGTGTGTATGTATAAAGCAGGGCAGTGCAAGGCGGTGCTGGCACAGTGCCCCTCACCCTCATGCTCTGGACGCCAGCCTCCTCAGCCTCAGGAGGAGAGCTGGCTGTGACAAGACAATGGACCGCCGTGCACCAAGGGCATTCCATGTGTGGGATCCCGCTGTCCCACACGGCTTCTGCTGCTCCACGTTTTATGTTGGGGGGATTTGTTCTGACCCTTCAGGACTTTGAGAGGTTGTCCAGGGCATGGCGGGTGAACTCCAGCAAAGAGCTGAAGGGAAATTATTACACTGGCTGTTCAGATTTACGTTTTATGACAACCAGAGGTGTTTTCTGAAAAAGATGTGGGAAACATTTAAAATAACCGGGTGGCTACAGATTGGAGAAATCCTTTGATATTATGAAGGACTTTAAACATCCTGGCAGCTGGAGATTAATCAGTGACGGAAGAGAGGAGAAAGCTGGCCTGGTGGGGTCTGTGCTGCAGGCAATTCAAACGCATGTCTGCGGGTCTGCTAAGAACGTTCTAGGGCTGGCTGATGGGGGCCGGAAAGGCAGTCCTACCTTTGCTGGACGAAGCCTGAAGGACACAGGCTCTGTGCTCCTGCAGGGCTCCCCAAGCAGAGGTGTGCTCTGGGTGCCGGAGCTGGATGTCCTTGGGGACCCAGGCCTCTGGAGTCTTGGTGGTGCCAGGATTGTCACAGCTTCACTATGCGGGTATCTTTGTCACTGAGCAGCAGGGTGATCACATCCCAAAGCCTGCTCATCACCCCTGCTCCCCTGCCCCTGCTCATCACCCCTGCTCCATGGTGCTCTTTTGGTCGAGACAGTATGATGCCTCCCCCAGTCACTCACCCGTGCCTATGGGTCTTCCATGGATGGGTTCTTCCCTGCC